CTGCTAACTGCTGTAACAGTAGCATTCCAACTGTCTGGTACAGATGATAAGAGAATTAAAGCTCAAACTTCATCATCGAATTCAATTTCCACTGAACTCAACTGGGTTGTGATTGTGTTGAGTTCATTTAGGTGTTGTGCCATCGATGCCCCTTCCGTCATCCGCAAATTGAATAATCGCCTCATCAAGTGCACTTTGTTTGAGGCTGATGGCTTCTCATACATACTGGAGAGAGCCGCCATAAGACCCGCCGTGGTCTTTTCATTTGCTATGTTGAAAGCAACATTGTGGGATAACGTCAGTCGGATAACTCCGAGGGCTTATCTGTCGAGAAGAGCCCAGTCTTCATTCTTCATGCCCTCTGGTTGCTTTCTTGAGAGAGGTTGATATAGATTTTTTTGGTATAAAAAATCTTCGATCTGCATCTTCCAAAAGCCAAAGTCCGCACCATCGAACTTTTCAATTTTCACATTCCCTTCGTCTGCAGCCATCGCTCCCACTCGAATCTGGTTTCGTTTGGATCGTTTCTGACAATTCTTGCGAACCACCGTGTATTAGAACACCTCCGTCGACAAACTCGTATCGCCGACAAAATTTTTACTATTCATGAAATTCACTATTCATGTGAATAGTAATGAATAGTAACATAGCAAAAAATTTGACAAAATTCACAACCAAAAGCTCTGATGCCAGTTGTTAGGAAATAAATCGAGTACGAGTAATTTCCCTATAACCAGATTAATGAGAATGCGAAATAAAAGCGAAAAAATAATACCCGAAATTGATAACGGAGTTCAGCCAATTTTGCTTACGTCTCCGGACTGCTGCATATCTTTTACTAAGAGAGAAAATTTACAGGTGTTTACAAAACACTCACTACTCACAAGAAAGCTCTCTAGTATTGGGAGAAACAAATGATTTTTGGGTTGAAGCTAAATGAACTAGGGTATTTATAGTTGAAACTTAAGGACTTAATCTTGTAAATACCCTAAAGCCTAGGGATTAATTGTGATTATCCCATTATCATTTTTCAACAAACATCTACCAAACTTTGAAAAACCATTTTTCAAAGAAACATTTACCAAACTTTGAAAACCATTTTCAAAGAAACATTTACCAAACTTTGAAAACCATTTTTTCAAAGTTGGTTACCAAACTTGAAAACCATTTTAATACTTTCAACAGGGATTATAGAATCTATTGATTTGAAATACCTAGAACACACTTAGTAATAGAACATTAAGGGGAGATTGAGATTGAGTTCAGCTTTCATAGAGAAAGCATAATTCGAGTCGAGGTTTTTCTAAGCGCTTTTAAACTGCTTTGAGTTAACTACGATAGTCACGGTTAATTCGAACAAAGATTGAGATTTCTAAAATAGATTTAGGAAAATCAATCACCAGAGGGAAAAGTGAGCTACAAGGATTGAACCTTGCGGGCTCAAACGGGCATTTAACTAAAGTAAAATCATATTCAAGGATTGATGGGAATTTGAGGCAAAGCATAAGCTTGAAGTTGTTTTTAGTCATATCGAGTTTTTAATTTAAATTTCTTTCCTTTAATTCTTTACTTTCTTCTCAAATCTTTTTATCAAACCTCCCACCCCATTTTTATTTTTCTTTGCAATTCATGCCAGCCCAACAATCAAGAATAGAATCATCAAGCAACTTCCTTAATCCTTGCGGATTGACATTGAAACGACTCGTTGTTATAGATGTTTAATAGTGAATCCACTTCATGTTAAATATAAATGTGTTGTTTATTTTATTTGTGCATCAATACTATATATATATATATATATTGTTTTTTAATTTATTTTTTAATATTCTAAATCTTCTATATATATATATTAAATTTGTGCACGAATCAAAATATTTCAGTGGTTAAAGAATTGTTGTTATTTTTTCAAATTTCGGGTTCAAGTACTGTATATGCAGAGCATGAACTTTAATTATGAAATGGTTGGAAATTTTTGGATAAATATTTTCTTATATTTACCTCAGAATTATCTTTTATATATTTAAATCTATTAATAATAAAGAAATATTATTTCTTTTTATCTTTCATATGTGTTTTACAATTTGTAGTTGGTCCTTTTGATAGTATTCTCTTTAAAGTCTAAACTTTAGAATTTTTTTAATCTGTATCTTATCATTGTACCTTATACTTCTTAGTAAAAATTATCGCATTTAATTTTACAAATTATTTTTTTCATTCACATATTAAATTATCTACAGAAGCAAATATTTTTGAACATGTCAAATGATTTTATTAGTTAAACTTGAGTGTTATTCTCCTTAGAGATTTTAAATTCAAATAATTGTACTTGTGGGTGTATGCACGTTTTCGTAGATCAGAAAAGATCATGAAGACTATATGAAAGAAGAAAAACAAACACCTTACTAATGAGTAGCATGGTTGACGGGGACATCAATCACATTATAAGTAGAAAGAGGAGCATATCTCCTTGTGATTTTTAAGTGACTTTAATGCTAAGATGATACACCAAAACGAAATAAAAAGTGACTTTATGTCTTTGTTCAAAAATAGTGAGTGAGATGAAGCATCATGTGAATCATGGATCAAAGTGAAGGAGAAACAACTAACTTACCCAATCCAAAACCTTTCTCTTTTACAATTAATGCAAGAACTTGAAAAAAAATGAAAGGATAAAAGCATATATATATATATATATATATATTATTAGAATTGGCACATCTACTAGTTATATAGGTATAAGAAATTAAGAATAATTTTTAATTTTTAAACACGGTATAAGAAATTTAATCATATTTGTAAAGTTAACAGATACACGCTAATGATATAAATATTATTTATATATTTTTATTTTATAATTTAAATTTTATAATTCCTTTTAACCAAATAGATATCAAATTAAATGTAATTAAAAAAATCATTCTTTAATTTTATATTACTATTAATATAATAATATGATAAGTGAGATTAGAAATGGTAATAAATCATATAAAATCAGAATTTTAATCAATTCAACTTATATATCATGCTTTTCCTTCGAACTCTTATTTAATTCGTGTTTAGATTTTACGATCGTTTTCCCATATATTTTGTTTTATTGAGATTTTGGATGGAAACGGGTTAGGGTTTTAGTCGATCCGACGTGACTTGGAATATATACCATCTATTTGATTTTGATTCTAATTCGATCTAATATAAAATAATTTTTTTTGAAAGAGGGTACTTTGTATTACGAATAATTGCAAAGTACACTACATCGATGACCTCATTAAAAATTCTCCATATCCCTAAATGGAGAAAAAAGAGTAAACCAAGAGGTGGAAGGGATCAAATACAAAAATAACAGTAACAACACACAAGACATACCCCAAGCCACAACCCAACTCAAACTAATACCAATATAAACCCTACAACAAAACGAATAAAGATCAAGATGGACAACCATAAAGTTGATCAACAACGAACACAACAACAATGGGAAGGAACCGAACAACAGCAGAAACCAAGATCACCAAATCTGCTAATAACACTAACGAAACACCATGACAACATCAATCTTCATCCCAGCACACAAAACATATCATTCAAACACTCCCCAACGTCATTAGATTAATTTAACAATCAATCACTCCCCTACAAAGATAAACACTTCTGTAAATCAGAATCAAACGCCATTCGTAACTAAATGCTGAAGCAAGCGCTGGGAAATCTTGCTTCTACAGCAAGGGCAAGAGGGTAGCCATAACGAAAGCATAATCACAATAAGCAAACAAGCATAACATGCTTCGCTTCCTTTAAATGCTTCAAAGAAACTGGAAAACCCCACACATATTGCTCCATCACTTTGGAAACTTCATGTCAAAACTAAAATAACAACTAAAAGCTGGCATAAACCGATCTCTACTGTGCACATAAACAAACATTGCTATGAAAAACAAAACAATGAATGGTTCCCCTTGGACAAGCCATAAACCCGAACTTTTACCTCCTAAAACCTCCTGCAATGCTACAACTAACTCACCATAAAATAAAATTTTAATTATGAAAATAATAGATATATGACTATTACAATAATTATTGATAAATTTATTTGAATAAATTATACTATTACCTCAAATCGGGTCAGTTTTTTCACTCTTCACTCAAATTTGACCTCACTATTTTAAAAAAATTCAATCTGATTTATCTCAAACCTGAATTTTTATTTTAAAAAAATCTGATTCTATCGAAATGTATTAATTTCAGATTAAATTATAATTCCTAAACGTTGGGGATGTAAGAAGTGAAAAATGTTGGGGGTGGGTCAGGTCCCTCACCCCCTTCACGTGCAGCACCAGCCCACTCTTATCTCTTTGTCACGCGCAATTGTCCTCGTTGTGTGGTCCAATTGTCTCACTTCTCTCCTAACATAATGTTTAGTGTTTATCCACTCATATCATCCATCAAATCAACTTTGGCGAGTCAACGGGGCACACCTCCCTCCTCAATTGGGCACCCTTTGCCTTTACCATTGGATTAGGTCTTCATATACAATTTGTTTAACATAATCATACAAGGAAAAAGCTTTAAAAATTTATCGTCTTGTTTAAATAAATTTAGATTATTGTTTCATACATAAATAACATAAAAAATATTTTATCATTTATTTATTTTGATATTAAATATTAAAATAAAAGTGGTTGAAGAAATAGTTCTTGGTGAAAGCACAACTCTTTGAGACAACGGAATATCGAACACACTATTATTATATATTTTAGATTTTATTATTATTTTTTATTAATAATATGTTTTTATCCTTTAAAATTTTAAAAATACACCTCCTAATATAAAACCATACTTCCATACCAAAGAAACTATTATTTTCTGTTTGAGGTAGAAATTGTTTTATTCTACAAAGGAGTTAATAAATCATTACATATTCTTAAATTAAAATTTTTAAAAATAAACAAACAAACCATATAATAATACTTTAATTTTAAATGTGAAATTAAAAACTCGATCATCTATGCATCTCCATGGGACCAAATACCCCCATAGCTTTCATCAGTGCCACCATCGTCGTCGTCACTTGTTTGATCAAGTGCCATTAATTCCGCCTTGTACTTAATGTTATTCATTCTAGTCTGCACAACTTTTCCTTCGCTGCCGTTCCCTTTAAGCATATAAACCACTTCCTTCATGGCCGGCCGCTTCTCCGGTTCGCTTTGCACGCATAGACAAGCAACACCGATGGCTTGTTTCAATTGGTTTTCGTCGAAATTTCCTCGAAGCCTCGGATCAACGAGGTCTTTAAACCGCCCTTTAGCTATAAGCCGCTCGGCCAACTCAGTTATGGTCCTTTTCATGCCACCAGGTAACTTTTCTTCAGGCTTTCTCCCCGTGAGAAGCTCAAGCAAGAGAATACCGAAACTATAAACATCGCAGCCGTCGGAAACCTTTCCCCACATGGCGTATTCCGGCGCAAGGTATCCTAAAGTACCCTTCACACGAGTCGTCATGTGGCTTATGCCATCGGGGATTAGCTTCGCAAAGCCGAAATCGGCGACGAGAGGTTCGTAATCCGAATCGAGTAGCACATTGCTTGCCTTGATGTCTCTATGAATGATGTGGGGCGTTACCTCATGGTGCAAGTACCTATAGAAATAAGAACATTTTTATGTATGCTATGACTCAATAAAAGGCTAAAGCTAAACTTACGATATGCCTTCTGCAGAACCAATTGCGATCTTCATTCTCTTTGGCCAGTCTAATTGAACCTCGTCGGCAAAATGGCCGTGCAGGTGAGACAGCAGGCTAAGATTCGGCATGCACTCGTAAATGATGAGCCTTTGATCGGTCCCGACACAGTAACCCCTTAGTCCCAACAGATTCTTGTGCCTGACCCTTCCGAGAACCTCAACTTCCAGTGCAAACTCCATTTCAGCTTTTGAAGTCATGGATTTCAACTTCTTAACAGCTATCTGCAAACATAATATTCAATAACAAAGTCCTTTAGGCATGGTAAAAACCGAGGGGAACTGATGGACCGATCGACTCTTAAAAATTTCAAATTCTCGTATAATTTAAATATACGTAAATAAATGACCTGGAGACCATCACCGGTTTTACCCAAGTAAACACTGCCGAAGCCGCCATCGCCGAGCTTGTTCTCGTCAGAGAAGCCATTGGTGGCGGTGAGCAACTCTTTGTACGCAAGCATTCTCCATGTTGTTTTTTAAGTAATGTTTTTTTCTAATCAGATTAACTCATCGACTTCCACACCAACAAAATTTAAAACAGATTATCTATTTGGAAACTCAATTATTATTTAATTTTTATTTTAATCATTCAATTATTATTTTTAAAAAAATATATTTAATATTATATTCAAATTTTACTTTAATCATCTTAATGAGATAAAATTTACAATCCACATAATTTCCACTGATCATTATTGACTGAAAAGGCATCCTCTTAATTTCCAGAACTGTCCAATGCTTCTTGCTCAAGTTTTGTTTCCACGGCTCCCCATCCATCTGCATGAACGACTCTTTCCATTCTCCACCTCTCAGCTCCATTCTTATTTCTGCAGCCTGCAATATATTTATGGCATAGACAGGTAGAAAGAGTCGTCTCGAACATTTTTCGGCCCCTATGTGAAAAAGCCTAGCATATGCTCGTATTAGACATTTACACCCGAGTTCAGGTAACGTTACTTATTCCCCAAGGCACGTGCATTACAAGAAACCAGGTAAGGTAAGAGCTTCTACAATCATATGTTTAACCACCTTTTGACATATTATGGTAAAGAAATAAGCAAGTTACAGTGTACCTGTGCAATGTGTTTTGCTGATATGAGATCCGCCATAACGAACGACGCATGCCATCCTTGCTTTAAGCCGAAAATTTCCAGAAGGCCATCATCGACATTGGCTTCAACGAATCCTTTCTGAAAAATAAACAGAATGTCGAAGTAACTCCTTTTAGATTCGAAATTCGATCGAGCCTGTCGATGAACTTAGTACTCAAGTAACCTGAGAAATGTACCATACTTATCCAGATACGCTTGTCTTAGAGTACCCCATGGATTCCTTCCACTTCCATAATTATGAAGATTTAAAGCAACAATAGCTCTTACACTAAAACAAAATAGCATAACATTAGAAAGTAATTAAATCATAAGCCATACAGAGTAACTTCAGAAATATAGCCTGTTGCAGGAGGTTCAGTAAAAGAAAATACTTTGAAATCTACCTTTTCGGTATCGGTACCGGCACCCATCCTGTGGAATTGACCTTTTTAACATGTATCCTCAAAATGTTCTTGAGTCCCCTACTGCATATAGAAATATACTGTCATTATTTAGAAAATGTAATGTATCCATTGTAGGATAAGATGCAAGATGAAGAAATATAGTAATATCTTGCCTCAAGCTTGGATCGGACGCGCATGGTGTTAGAAACCAACCATGAGAGCAACCGTAAGTCGAGTAGAGAAGCTGCCACAAAGGATGGATCAATACACTGTAGTTTTAAGTTCTACCAAAATGCAAACCATATGCCGAGCAGATAAGTAAAAGAAATCGAAATACCTTATTTGATATCGGACCTAGTGCAAGGTAAGGTCTCTCGTTACGTAAACTATGGAATCCATAAGCTACTTGTGCATCCATTCCTGAATTATAATGGTAATAGCAAATGGAAAAATACCATAAGCAAGCAAGAAGAAGAAAGCTAAGATGTTAAAATAATGATGGTCAAGTTTCTAAGATACAGTTATACCTATGCTAAAGTAACTGTAGAATACTCCACTCAATTTCACTGTCTTTGGAGCCTCCTCGTCAAGTTCCATATTCTGTAGTCACGGAGAAGATCAAAGATGCTTGATTAATATTCCAAGGGCGGCTCGATTAACATCAATGTCTAAACAGAGAGATTCACTACCTGATCATCAGTCTCACACTCTTCTGAGGGCTTCAAAGTATGGGGAAGATCAACGGCTTTGCTGGCAGGCATTTCCAATGTGATTTGCCAACTGCATCATCAAATTATAAACAATTACCGACACAACTGCGGAATAGTTACCGGAACAGATTTCCGATTGTAAGCGAATTGAAATTAACTGACAGGAGTCTGCGGTAGTGGATCATCAGACTCATAAAAGGCAATAACAAAACGTGGAACCAATCGTTATGTAATGAATGTAAGCATGGTTACCTATCTAGACTGCAAATCGGACCGCTTGCAGCTCTATGTAGGATTCTTTTACTTAGTGATTTCCAGGAGAAAGGAAACGTACTTACCTGCAGTGAACGTTCAGAAGCATGAGCCAAGAAAGTAATGGAAGCAAACAGAAGACAACATCAAATCCTATAAAGGAACATCTTTACCCAACTGAAACTTCGAGCCAAATCATTGCCTGTACCAAGTGGAATGATAGCCACAGGAGGAACCGGCTCCCTTCCCGTTCGAGGAAGTTCTCCAAGACATCCGAGTACCCAACCAACTGTGCCATCACCTCCAGCAACCTGCTTATTCATACACAATCATTCAGCATCAATGCCCATCTGTTAGTTATTTCTATGATTCATTGGCTTGCATCAATCAAAGAGATAAAATTCTTTAATTACAGAAGATGAGTTCACAAATTTTAGAAGCCGGTAAACACATACTTACCACAACTCTAATTTTCTCCCGAATCTGTTTGGCACAAACGTCTTCATTGTTAGCGTGCTTCTCAAGGCAACCCAATCCATACCGTACAAAATCATTAGGGGCTATCTCTAGGAGATCAAACACCTACATTTCCAAAATCAAAATTCGTAATAAAACAACATACTATACAAACCATAAATATAACCATTTTGGTCCAACCTGTTCATCGCTCAATAAGTCACGGAGACGGTCTTTAAGGTTGGGGCCGGCTTGACCGCCGCTACGGGTATTAATAAAGACGACCATGGGGGCTTCAGGGGAGGTCACAGGGTCGGAGGTAAGTAATTGGAAATGCTGGTCGCCGGCGTCCACGTCTTTATTCTTAATGCAATCTAGCATGGTAAGGGGGACATGTTGAGGGATCAAAAGCCTAACCCTGAGCGCTTGCTTGTTGATCCTAACGGAGGCTAAACTCGTCAAGCCGTAGGATCTTATTGAGCCCATCATGGAAGAGGAACGGGACATCAGCGCCGACGATAACGTGGACGATGTCATCGACGATGACTCGTCTGGCAATTTCGGTGAATCCATCCTTGTTTTTTTACACGCACAAAAGAGAAAGAATGGAGGAGGGAACTAAAGTTAGTTTTTATAGTTTTATTTTTTGGAAAAACTGTTAGGAGGAGTTTAATATTTGTCGTTATAAATTGAGACCACCAACTGAAATTTTACGTTCATGGGACAAAGAGTCTACGTATCAAGTTACGAGTTTCAAATTGATAGGTTTAGCTTGAATTAGATGGAAATTTACAATTTTTTTAAATAACAGAATATATTTTTGTACACATCTAATTATGTAAACATATTATTATATTAAATCACATGAAACATATATTTAATAAAATAATCAATTTATAATAATACTTTAATTCAGGCATAATATAAGAAATAGTCTCAATGTTTATCAAAATGATCATTTCAGTCCCTATTCTTTTTTTTGGAGTATTTGGCCCTAACGTTTCACTTTGGGACAAAAAGCCTCTTTTATAGATGGAAATCATTAGTTAATACACGATTAACACTCCGAAATATGAGTTATTTTTAACCTAAAATAAAATGTTGACGGCTAAAATATTTCATAAAAAAATAAGGATCAAAGTGGTTATTCTGTCAATTGTTAGGGATCTTTTTGCCTTAAAATGAAATGTTAGTCCAAAAATACTCCAAGAAATAGAATAAGTGATAAAATGATTATTTTGTTAAATACTAGGGGCTAATTTTGGTATTATGCCTTTAGTAATGTCTCACTCATTGGCTCTCTGCCGGCTCCAATCGAATGGTTCTTAAGATCTATATTTTACGCTACATGATTACAAATCTGGTGAACATATTGTTTTTTTGCCAGGATGGCCACTGGTTTCCGCCTGTTGTTATCGACGAACAACCTGATGTTCCGGTGTGGAACCCTGTGCTATTTAAACTTCCATCACAGGAACTGTTGTTATTCTATAAAGTTGGCCAGGAGGTTCAAAAGTAAACTCCTAGCTGCTTTTATGGTTTTCGAATACATGAATTTCGTTACGACTAATGTACATGCTTCTTATGTGATCTGCTTTTTGCTGTAACTAAATCCAGGTGGAGCGAATGCATGAAGCGATCGTATGAGAAAGGTGTTACTTGGACAGAGAGAGAGCAACTTCCTCCTAGCATACTAGGACCTTCTAAGAACAAGGTGTGATGTGTGAACATAATTTGTTGTTACATTTACATGTATTTTAGTATTTTTTCACTTGTGAAGTTCGGATAACAAGTATCCCGACAATGTGTCGCTTGCTCATCTGCAGCCTATCTTGCTCGAAAATGGACTTTTGCTCTGTGGATCGTCCGTAGAGAGTTGGAATTCTTGGGGTTCATGGGTGGAGTTTGTGATAACTGATTCGATTACATTAACTGTTATACTCTTGATGTTTGAAAATGCAGTTTTCATATTCGATGATTAACATCGACAGGTTACACCAAATGCTGGTATATTCTGGAAGAAGTATGGCCCTATATATATATTAAAAATAGGTCTCTCAGTGTGATTCAATCGGTTCCTAACGTTACTTAAAAAAGGAACACTCCGTGTTTTAATGGGATCTTTTGAAGGCGTCGATAAAGTTTGTACATCGGAATCCAATGATGGTGGTCACAACTGGGATAATGTCAAGCCTACCGAGCTTCTGAACCCAAACTCAGGTTGGTGTGTTAGTCTTGTTTCTTTTCTGGCATCCTATTGAAATGATTCATCTTTACTGCAAAGTAATGCTGTGAAAAACGAAAAAGAATCTTGCTCATTCCCTTCAATTTCCCTACCGGCTTATACCACGAGCTGCATTCGTTAGGTATCGACAGGGTTAAGCTGAGGGATGGCCGCGTCTTGCTTGCTTACAATACAATCTCAAGGGGCGTGCTTAAAGTTGCACTGTCCACGAATGATGGTGATTCATGGGATGAAGTTTTAACACCAGAAGAGAATCTGGAAATGGAATTATCTTATCCGGTTGTTATCGAGGATAGCGACGGACTTATTCACATCACTTATACATATGATAGGACCCAGATTAAGGTAACAACTTTGTTTCTGATACTCGGGATCACTTATTCGGTTCGTATCTGCTATTATGTTATTTCCTTGTGATCATTTACATCATGTTGATATCGAGTGCATCCGAGGATCATGGTTTAACTTCTGCAGAAAATTACTTTTGCAGCATGTCACACTTCAACCGAATTGATTCGTGATTCATGTCCATATCACCCTGTAAAACTGAAGGTGAACTGGCAACCAATGTTCTTGATCCCAATGTATAAGCATCTTTGAACTGTTGATAATCAATAAAGTAAAAACCAAGCTTTGTATCGTAAGAATCCATGTTTGTGAAAGTAATAAGATTTTCTTATTGGTTAGCAATGTAACACTTGTTCTCTTTGTTATGTAAGTGTGTAATTAATAAGATCGATATTGTTCAGTTCTAATTGGATCCCGAGTAATGTTCATCTATGTTACTCTAATTCTTCATTATAATTCTAGTGGTTAAAGATTATTTGACGATTCAAGTATTTTGTTTAATACTTAAGATTGAAAAGTAATTTTCAAAAATACAAAATATAACAAATGAAATCTTTAGATTCATGTGTGTTATTACATTGTCAAGTTAATAAGGCTCGTGGGTTAACACACAGCTTGCATGGTGAAACCCCACAGCCTATATAACAAATGATCAGCTAGTAAGGTTTCCAGGACTAAGCTAAGCTCTTCAGTACTCCAACCCTTTGGGATTCCAGATCCCTGGTCTTGAAGCTGGTGCATGCATGCACCACCTGTTGTACTTGAAAATTTCCAACCCCAAGTCGAGACGCTTAGCCGGTATATACTCCTATTATAAAGTGTACGATGTGGTCAGTCATCGTCAGGTTCCGTAGAAAAGTCGGGTTCCTCTGGTTTTTGTATTTTTGGAATATCGACATCTTTGATCTTCTGCACTCCTCTCCTAGTATTTGCTGCAAACCTTGATGCTAATATCGTGACCCCAAGGTTCAGTTTTGCCTGAGAAGAATTGGAGCCTGGAATTAAACTTTTCTCTTCCTCTTCCTCTTCCTCAGTCTCCTCGTCCTCTTTTTCATCCGAAGCAAATGATTCCGCCCTCAACATCCTCCTTTTGTACCGACGCCAGGCAGCCTGTATGAAGCAGGCTGCCCATGTCCTCCAATGGTAGGAGTAGAACCGGAAGGTGTGCTGTAGTTTCTTGCTGTGAAGACGTCTAAATTGGTTGGCCACGAACTTGAGATCTTCGGCATGCAGTGCAAAGGCTTCAACCTGGACTAAAGCTCTGACTGTTCTTGTTGAAGAGGGCAAGTTCATGGTGGATTTCGGTAGCAAAGCCCATGCAAGAAGTTCCTCTCCACAAAAGTCTCCAGGTCTCAACGTGATCGAGTTGAAGAAACCCGTTCGACCACCATTTGTTGTGGAACTCTCTAATCTACCTCTGATAATGAAGAGCATCTCTGTCACAGGGTCACCCTCACGAACAATATAAGTACCCTCAGTGCTCAAGGACGATACTAGGCGCTCGCATATTGCATCAAGCAGCTGATCGTCCATTTGGGAGAAGAAAGGGACCTACATCAGAGAATATCTCCAATGAAACTAATTACTATCATTTAATAAAGAAATGACTCTAATTCAACGTGGGCAATCTACCATCAAGATTTGTTTTTCAAGTAAGGACGGTTTGAAACTCTAAAAGAAATTGACATGGGAAAGTTGCTTACACGTCGAACAAGGTCCAAGCATAAGTGGCATTGAATATCACGACGAAGATCAGCTGGTAAGCCATGTAAGATGGCTTCTTCATCAACTCCACGAGTTGCAAGCCATTTATACTGAACAAAACGTCTGACACGGTGTTTTAAATCTTCAGGGAGTTGGCGATGGCTCATCCACTCCTCGGTGTCCCTTCGCTTGAGTCTCCATTCCTCTAATCTCACGGTGAGGGATTGCAAATAAGTCTGTACCACAAACGAATGTAAAATATCACTGTAAACATAACCAGGAATACTTGTTTCAGTGAGGACGAATTGAAGCTTAATGTCGGACTTAGCAAAATACAAGATACTAGATAAGAACTCATCCTACTCCCTATTTCACAGCTTTCCTAGCCAGTGAAGCAAGGAGATCTCGACTGCTGAAATAGGCAACTGAAGAAAGGTAGTACCATTGGTCAAGACAGTTTTGGCAGATAAAACTATTTAATGGAGAGATACAACACAAAAATCTATTCACGAACACAGCATCGAGATGATGGAGAACATATTTCACTACATTGCAGTTACTAGAAACAGTAAATGAAATTTGGTATTTTAAGGCAAATCTCGAGGATGCAAATATTTTATACCTGCATGTTGCCAATCAAGTGGGAAAACAGAACAAGACCCAGGATAGAAATAAGTATAGCAAATAGTGTCTCCCCAATAAAAGTGCTTGTTGACAAATTCTGGCCATAGGAACTGAGACGATAAGAAAACAAAAGCCACGTATTAACGTTAACAAACACAAGAAACTCATAGAATGACATACAATCATTAATTACTAGATCAGATAAACCAATACTCTGTGCAAAGCTGAAAACAATATAGAAAAAAGGTGTGCATGCTTTATGAAACTAAAGTAGCATTACACGATAATAGGCATTAAAAAACCATTGACATAATCTGCTACGAAAAGTTACCAATCACCATCAGTTTAAATTTCATAGTAACTAGATCCTACAGCAGGCCAGTTACTACTTCTAAGGGGCACATGAAAATGCAACATGCCATCTATTCCAAACTAGCATAGTGGAACATAAAATTGACCGGCAGGCATCTCGGATGCATGTCTTAAGAGGAAGGTTTACATCTTTGTGCCTACAATTCAAAGAATAGTATCTCATCAAACACAATGTAAACACTTGACATCTTAGATTGCAGTGATAAGATACTCATACGCCCAGATATGCAATATGCTCAGTGCATGCCACTTGATTG